ATTTTCCTTGAATATACATTGTTTTGGGTGTATTATAAGCTAAATAATACTACTACCATGGTCATTTATTTAAAAACTTGATAGATAAGTGTCCTATGTGTATGACATAATGATAAAAGGGAATTCAAATATTTTCAAAATGTCAAATCTGTGATAAGATGCATGTTAAATTTTAGTATATAAACTTTAGGTAATTAAATTTTCTTACTTTGTATGAGAACTGTCAGGTTGTCATGAGACTCATCTTGATTACCATAGATAACATTTTCTTACATTTCTATCACAAGAGTATAATTTTGTACTATGCATTGTAATACTTGTCTATAAAGATTTATGTTGATTTTATTTAACATTTTAATATTAATTTATGATACATTGTGATATGTTATAAATTCTGCACTAAACATTGATATTTATTACCAAGTGCATAATTTTATAAGACATGTAGATAATTCATTTAAAATATAGATACTTATTGGTAATGAATATAGACCTTTATGATATAATTAAAACAACAACAACAACAATGTTTAATGACAAGAGTTTAGAAGGGACTAGAATAGAAACAATTGCAAATCATATTCCAGTTTCCACAGAAGAGAAGCCAATATATTAGTCTCAATAATAAGAACTTAGGTCCTCTAAGGTATTTGTATGTTTTTAATTTTTTTAAGGGTTAGGAAACTTAAGGAGAAAATTCATTAATAGTATATTTCTAAAGTTAGTGAGTAGACAGTGTATGATAAAAATAAAGCAGTCCTAGGATAGCATATTCTCATGCTCTCAAGTAAATAATCTCATATTTGTAAAGATTCCATCGATTCAGTAACAGTAAATCTCATGTGGATACTGGATATTTTTTCTGGTAATAATTATTTGGGTAATAATTATTTGGGTAATAATTATCTCAAACCAAGTAAAATATAAATAATGTCAGCTGACATGCTCATGGGATCAAAGTAATGTGAAGAGGAGATTGAGCAACAATTGTGAAATTGGTAGATGCAAAGGTCATAGACAGATGCACAAAGCTTAGTCAGTAGCTCAATTCAAGTGAAATTTATTGAAAGCCATGTAGAGAACTAGACTTTAAATTAAATGGTTCATAATTAGCCACAACTTAAAACACTGAATGAGCAAAACAAAAGTATTTGAGGAGTATTAGAAGGGCCACTCTTATTTGAAATGTAAGGATATAAGCTTTTCTGAAAACTGAAGTTCCTTTAAAAAGACAAACCAAAACAAGAACTCTAAAGTGGAAAGATGTTTGATTGTAGATTCAAACTTTTTTTAAAAAACTTTAAATTTCCCTAGACTTAGCTATCGACGAAACAAAACATTAAGAACAAGGCTACACAAACAACATGGATTAAGATGCATTTACTTGTGGTCTAATACTCCAGAGTCCTTACAAAGTAGAGGTAATTGAGACTTCAAAATTAGCCCAGCTGTGATGACTTGAACACGTTTTGTAGAACTTTGGCTAAAGTATAATATAAATAAACCGTGTATCCATAAGTATAATGTTTAGATTAAAAGAAATAAAATACATTCTTTACCTATATAAGAAAAAACTAAAGCCTTACTGCATTATTGGTAAGGGATTGACAGATTCAGGAAGAAGCTTGGCATCATTTTTCTTTTTCAGATTTTTTTCCTTTCCTTTTGTGCTTCCTTTTTTATATATTTCTCTCTCTCCTTTCCTTCCTTCCTCCATTCCTCCTCTCTTCCCTCCACCCTCTTTCCCTTCCTCTTTCCCTTCCTCCTTTCCTCCTTCCTTCCTTTCCCTTCTCTTTCTTTTCCTTCCTTCCTTTCTTCCCTTTCCTTCCCTCTTTTCCTCACCCCTTCTTTCCTTCTTCCTTCCCTCCTTCCTTCCCTCATGCCTTCCCTTCTATTTCTTCCTTCTTTCCTTCCTTTCCCTTCCCTTCCCTTTCATTCTCTTTCCTTCCTTCCTTCCTTCCTCTATTTTGTTTTTTTCCTCTTTTATTCTCTTCTCTCTTTCCCCTCTTTCTCCTCCATGGTCTCTCTTCTCCCATTAAAAAAATAAGTTTGCCTTTTAATCATATGGGATAATCTTACCTGTAAAATTGTTCAGCTATGATTATCCATACAAATTCAGCCTTGAACTAAAAAGACTTCATAGTTTAACTGGATGATTTTGGAAGCCACATTGATAATGAACAATGTGATACTAGAATCCAATGCTAAATATTCTAAAATTATATGAGTGAGGTCATATTGGGGACAAATGAGCTATAAATGAAACTTTCATTTGAGCTGGGAATACAAAGGGATCAACCAACTAAGTTAGTTTCCCAACTACTCATTTGTGGGATCAATTATAGATGAAGCATTGTAGGTTAAGCTAGAGAAAACATTTTACCAGAAAGATAACTTTGAAGATAGTTATAAGAATACTGCACAATCCTGTTGCTTCAAGTGAGTAAAAATAAATAAAGTCAACAATAGGAAGGAAGATGAGAGGGGAGGGAGTAGGGTGTGAGTAGGAGGTAGAATGTTTACATATGGCCTTGTGAACAGGATGAGAAAATAGAGTGCAATAATTAAAACTTTGGGATAAAGGAAACAAATAAGTTACTCAAAGCAATGTGTCTTCTTTAAACACTGTGCTCTACTTATTTGGAATACTTGTTGGGGTAGGGGAGCAAGTAAAATTCACACCTGTCCTCCTTTCTTCTTATTTCCTCCACCCAAATTATGTTTCTCTTTGTATCTTCATGACAAAACGGTGTGGATGGGTAAATCATAACTCACATGTCACTTTCCCACTGAAGCATTCCATGATCTCTCTACACTCATTAATTCTCTTCTTTTTGAACCTGCAGTATTTTCTCTGAATTCCAACTTGGCACTTACTAAATTGCAAAATGGTTTTTTTCAACCATGATTTATTGTGTGCCTTTTCTGTGCTTGTCATGGTAGGCCTTGGGGGCAGAAACAAATTGGACAGAAACTATCCTCATGAAGCTTATAGTCTAGGAAGAGAGATATAGGGAAATAAACAAATCACATCACCACAATTGAAATAAAAAAAGAAAATATATGGCACAGATTCAGCACAGAAAATGTGGCTATTGTTTTCCAGGGCTAGTCAAATCAGGAAAGATTTGCCATGCATAATAATGATAAATCATGTCACTATTTTTCCTATTTCAAGGTGAGCTCTTTGAGAGCAGGAAATATGACATACATTTCAGCATCCTTATCGCTTAGCAATCTTAGCAATTGTTTGATCTTGACATAATCATAATATCTGTAAAATGCAACAGGTATGCATCTGCTTATACAGGATATAACGTATAGATGCTTGAATTTTTACATTCAAAATCATTATTTTCTTGTATGATTGGGTACTGTTTGATACTTTTGCCTCTAGCTGTGTGCATCTGCATGTTGGAAATGAATATTTTCTTTGGTTAGGCTGGTAGTGGAATTGCCCTTACTATGTATGGCAGTTTTATTGTCTAGCTCATTAGAGTTATCTTAATTAATACAGCAATTAATCTATCAATAATTTTATTAATAAAATACAGTATCATTAATAAAGCTATCATGCAGCAATGAGTTAAGTAGATTATGAATAGATTAATGTTTTCTTCTGTATGAAAACATTTTTTGCAAATATTAACATCGACTTTGAAATAAACTATTTTGTAGAAGGTTAAAGTAAAACCATGGGTGCCATTGGCATTAGGACAGCTTATTGATAACATTTTATCATACAACGAAGTGATGTTAAATTCAATTTGTTAAGTTCGTTTTTGAAACCATGGTATATTTTTGTTAAATTGAAATATAATAGATTTGAAAATGAACAGATTTCTATTAAATTGAAATTATGTAAAAAATGAATTCATAAGAGATAGAATTCTTTAAATAAAGTTATAGCAGTGACTCCATATTAGTAAAAGCTTCCCTGTGCTAATCATCTAGCATTTTTATAGCTCCTGAATGAAAGCAAACTGTTTATTATAATGATAACACTATAAAGCTTCATCCCCATATTTTCTTTTCTGGTATGACATAAAGCAAGCAATATTTAATTTAAAGGGCATAAAATTCACATCATTACCATAAATATAGAATCCAGTATACAGATGACTACAATGAAGAAATCTGCTATCTAATTATGCAGCAACCTGACTGTGCTTCCCAAATTTGTCTAAGCTTATGTTCCTTAACACCATATGGTACAGGGAACAGTAAAGACATCTGAATTCAAATATTTTGAAGAAATGTGTATTTAGCAAGTGAATACATGCTAGAAGGAATAATTTACAGCAGCAGTTTCATTACATATTTCTCTTCAATTTTCTCGTTCCCATCTGAAAGGCAGTGACAGATACAGATATGGAACATACTTGCTACCTGGCAAGAAGCATGCTTACTGAATGGGCACATATCTTCTGCCCCTAAATAGTACAGAAGCCACTTTTGTCCCCTGTGTGGGCAAATCTTGCATTTAAAATAAGATTCAATACACTAAAATGGAGTGTTTAGAGAGACTTGTATTTTACACTGTTCTTCTTTTCAAAATTATTTACATTTCTTTTGCCTAATGTGTAGGTAGCAAATGTATTAAGCACATACCATTAAAAGTCACTAAATCATACAAAAAATAAGCATAAAGTGTGTGCATTTGCATGCGTTAACATTTTACATTTGATTTCAAAGGGGCATAGCAATTCCTCAGTTGTGATACACCGTTTTCATACATGAAGATGGCTGTTATAAACTGCCCAAGACTCATTTCTAGAGTCTCTTAGCCAAGTTCTGATTTTACATGCAGATGCCAAAGTCTATGAAAACTGAATTATTTAATGGGACACTAGTTCTTTTTCGTGCAAACTACCCTCTCTCAATACATATTGGCAGAAGATTATGATGGTAATGGGAATTATTTGTCTGTAAGTTACTTCTATAATTTTCTTTAAAAATGTGGACCTCATGGTTTATAAAGACATGCTAGATTTGTTTGTTTCTGATACTTTTAATTGAAGGTTTTTTTTTCTATTGATATTCCATAATGTTAAACAAAATGCATTTAGATTTTGGAAGGCTTCCATGAGGGTGTCATACAATCTCTATCCCTGCAAATCCTTCATTGTTAAGGACCAGAAGAAATAAGATATTTCTATTACAAACAAATTTGTTTGGAATGAAATTAGCTTAGAATGAAATACAACACTGAATTTTAGTATCGTTAAGGCAAATATACCAAAATAAAAGTAGGCCCTATATTTGAAGCATTCTGTTCTTTGATTTATATTTCAAGCACTATTTTATGTATAGGTGTGTGTTCTTCAATTTAAAATTCATCTTTCATTTGAGGACACACTTCCCAAAGCAACATCCTGATTAGTCAATTGAACCTAAAATCTGATGAATTTTTAAGATTTTTATTTGAAATAAATGTCAACAAATTGTTTATTTGAATAGTCATTAAAACTGAAACATGAACTCCCATCTGTGAAACATTTCAGCTGAGAGGGAATAACAATTCAATATGTTCTGAGGTGAGAAATTAATGCTGAGTTAATTAAAATCCCAAGACACCACAGTTAAAATTTCAATGTCACTTCATTCATTAGCAATAGTATATTTTCATTTTTGTGCTTGGTGAAGACGTAGGTAGGAATATCTGAAGTGTGAACATGGAGCACAAAATGGATTATGCTGAAAATCATAGTTATCTTGACTTCAATGATTCTCAAGGAATCATCTTCAGATAACAAAGAGATTCTTAATTTAAAAAGCTTTATTTTATTTTCTAAATTATTATGGGAAAAGGAAAAGAAGTTTACATTTTCTAAATGTGGGTTATGTCCGGGAAAATAGTTTGTGTAAATGTCACTCCTGTTTATGTGAAGAGTCATATAACCTTTATATATGTGTGTGCATGTGAGTGTGTGTGTGTGTGTGTATAATTTGTTCAAACAAAGTTAGATAAGAAGCAGCTGACTCAGAAAGGAACAGTTGGGGAATATGATTTTATAATGTTGTTCTGCACAGGTTTGATTCCTCTCTCATTTCCGAAATCAAATATTGACTGAAATAATTTCTATTGGAATTATTACAAAGGTCTTATGTCTCAAACCACCATGTGTGATTTCAAGCACAGAATTAAAAGATGTTTTCTGTTAATACTATACAAAGACAGTGCTTATAACTCTGATGAAACTTTCTTTTCATTTATCCACTGAATGTCATAAAATGTATTTAATAAACTGATTTTTCTTTCCTTTTATGTTGTCTTAATTTTCTGATTTTCTAAGAACATTACACATGCTAGAATTAACTTAGATAATACTTGAAGAAGGGGAGTTGTGAACAGCTTCTTTTTCTTTGATTTCCTCAGAGAAATAAAGTATAATTCATATCTTTATTTGAGGAATTAACAGTTAACGATGTAGATATGTCTCTAGAGAAATATCAGTTATCTCACCTACAGAACTGAAAACAAAAGTGGAAAAAAGCAGCACACAATTGGAATTTTTAAAACAAACTATATAGCACGATAACTGTAAGAAACCTACTCTAGCTTAGAAAACAACTATTTTTTACTGCATATTTGTCATGGTACATTTAAATTATGGTTTTAATAAAATACATCTTTAGGTCAAAGCTGAAAGAAGACATCAGTAGTAGATCAGTGTATTCCATTTTTTCTTCTGCATGATGGATGATTTATGCCTTTTTTAAAATATTTCCACAGACCATTTCATTCAGTATCGTTTTACTTATGTTACTCCTCCAGTACATACAAACACGAGTGCTGGTAGACAAAAATATCCTTGAATCCAATCACATTTGGGAATATTCATCAGTTAGTAAATCCATGCAGTTTATTTTGAAATTCTAGTTCAATAAAATGGCTTTGCTGATGCAGTTTTTTTTTCATGTCAATATGGCAAATGACATTTTTATTTCTCAGGCAAAGAAGAACATGAAACCTGTACAATGAAATCTCCCAGGAAAACATGAAGTCTGCTGAAACAAACTTTCGAGCTCACCTGTGTTCTCTATTAGGTGTTGGAATTAAAGAGAAAGCCTGGTAGGAAAGTAACTCATGGACTTAATTTATAAGTGGTGGAACTCCGCTGAATTTCCCACCATTGTAAACATCCACATAATGCCATGAAAAAAAGTTCACGTATATTGCATTTTATTTCCAGTTATTGTCTAGGCAAGTTTTGACTTGTTTGAGGTTTCTAAGGGTAATGCTTCTTAGACACTCCTGGGAGCCCTCTCAAATTCGTGGGTCCTCCTGTTTCTACCTTTCTTATTTTCCTGCAAGTGCTTCCATTTGTTACTGTTCCCTTGAGAATGTCCTGGCCTCTGCCGACGTTGTTTTCGGTCCCTTTTCCAAACTTGTTCACAAAACTCATCCATGGTGTTCAGGTTGGGGTGGTTGATGAGCTGCATGAAGTCTCTGTACCAGATCTTTTGGCTGGGTGTCATGCTGTTGGACAATTCTTTGGTCTTAGAGCCATCTCCATCATCATCTCTATGAAGAAGTTCTTCCAAATGTTCTGTGTCAATGACCTCCAGGGTCACTTTAAGAAGTGTTTGCATGAACCCATGCTCCACTGCATGGCACAAGTATTTGCCCGAATCTTTCCTCTGCAGACTGCGTAGTAGGAGTCCTTGTTCTGTCCTGATGATATGATCATCCACTCTGATCTAATAGAAAAAAATATTGTAAAAGACACATACTTGATAGAAATATACAGTCTGAAACGCTACGCCAGTAAAATTTTAGATTGACTCAGGCAAAATTTTAGCAGGTACCAACATTTCTTTTCTTTTTTTTTTTACATTGTTTTTTTTTATTGTGAAAGTACTGTACAAAGAGGTTACAGTTACATGAGCAAGGTAATGAGTACATTTCTTATCCAGCATTGTTGCCTCCTCCTTTGTTTTCCCCTACCATCCCCTCCCTTTCACCTCCTCAGCTACCACTCCCCCGCCACGCGCCTAAATTGTAAAGTTTGTTTTTCGACATAGTGTCTTGTAGATCTGTTGGTCACTGCTACCAGCTGTGATCATTTCTCTCTAGCTGAACTAATTGTGTCCAATCGCTGGCTTAGATGGAGTTTTGAAGAGTTCTTTTTGCCAGGTCTGGTCTCAATCTGAGATCTCTTAATTTCTGCCTCTCAAGTAGCTAGAATTACAATCTTGAGCCACAGCACCCAGCTTATTTAATGCCTTTAAAATGGTGTTAAAGACTTGAAGCTCTCACACAGGTGATTTTGATATGCACTTACTTACTTCTGAGAGAAAGCTATACCTGTAGTAAAGAAATATCTACGTTGATTGAACTACTGGGACCTCAACTGATTTATCCTAAATCTAAGACATATTCTTCCGTTTGAGGAATAAGTTGTGGGTAAGGAAAATAATTTAGAATATAATTTTTAACTGAAGGAAAGTTAAAATTAGTGGACAGATTCCTTTTTTAAAATGCAGAAATCGAGATAAAAATAATTGCTTTGTCTATATGACTGCTAAGAAATAAGTATACTAAGAGATAAGGAGACTCCACATTGTATTCCCAAACTGCTTGGGAAGCAGAAACTCTCACCAGGTCAAATTTGTTTCTCTAACTCCTCCACATATCTTTCATGTAATCAGTCCATAGAGAATATTTTTGTAACCAATATGTTATTGATTGGTTAAGAATAAAGATAAGAGTTTTTAGTAGTTTTCTTGCCTTCAAGGCAACAATACTAGGGTAACTTAACAGTATAGGTTACACTGGAATAACAGACTGAATTATAGTCCAGTACCTCTTCTTTTCTTTCTTCATCTCGCCTCTGGAATTGCCAGTAAACCAGAGCTCGCTGAGACTTTGGACTGCATTCCAAGAATGTGCTACTATTCTCTACTCCATAGATGATTCTCTCCTCTAGGCTGTGGCCATGGTGATTATCTGGACAGTGACAAGAAAATGAAATGAAGAAATGTCAGAGAAGTTATCTTAACCTTCTAAACTATTTATATGGAAATGCCAGAGATAAGTTATTTCAAAATTGGAAGTTGTTTTCAAATTGATGGAAGATGGCAGAAATGTCAAAAACATAAGCTTTCAGATCCCAAATGCCTACCTAAAGAGAATAAACTGTAGAAAGCATATGCAGAGTTTTGTTTACCAGTAAATAGCATTACACTAACAAAATCAGTAATGTGTATATTATGACTACGGATCTCTACACCACGAACTTACTCTTAATAGATGATTTTTAGCCCAAGCTCTATGCTCAGAATAATGGGGCCAGTGTGTAGTTTGCTTATTCTCAAGAAGAAAAGGTTTGGGACTGGACTTTGGGAAAGAAGGACCTGTTTCTGAAAAATGAATTTGCTTCTGTGTTTTTGTTCTTTATCTGTAAAATTAAATTTACAAATCAATAATATTTATCTAGTATTTTACAGAAAAGAAAGATCGGGAAGCTTATCCTTCCCACCAGTAACCTCTCAATAATTCACAACTTTTTTTCCCCTGAAGGTTGATTGGTGCAAATTGTTTGAGATCACTTGGAAGAATGATGCATAATTATCATGCAATGTGGTTTCAATTGTTTTTATTTGAAAAGGACACATCTTTTATTATTTTCAGAAATCAGGCCATCAAATATTCTCTGATATGTAATAAAATACAGCAACACCAAAATGTGTTTCCTGATTAACTTTCTATTATTTTACCCTTGATGTAACCTCTTACAATGTGGTAAGTGAAACAGAGCTCAGATCAAAAGTAAGACACAGGGAATCTAGGTAAAGCTCTTTTGGAGAACATAACTCCACATTATGTTCTGTAATCTTGTTTCCATTATGACATCTTGTACAATCTGGAACTCATTAAATTAGTTTGGAAGATAATAAATTGATTTCACATACATAGAAAACTGACAGTGTAGACAGATAAAAAAGTTTATTCTCTATTTCAAACTCTAGCTAGGTTTTTAATTTAAATAATGTATCCCCACCATTTTCTTGGCATCACTGTGACAGTTTTACTCTTATCTTGATAACCTTAATGTTTATGTCTAGCAGGACCCATAGGATTTGCTATCAGTAGGTTTAGAGCCTTCCGAAAGGCTGCCTCTATCCAGTTCTAGCCCTCATCTCCTAACTCTCACCTGCTGCAGTTGCTTTCCCCAGATCACCCTTTGTTATCTCCAGGAATGTCAACTTCAGAGGCTGCTTTTAGAATAAAATGGCTAATATTGGGAATTAGCTCTTTCTTCTTATTGAAAAGATAAATCCCATGGAAATAGGAAAAAATGCAATGCAAAGAAATTGCAATGTTATACTGATCTTAAGTCACATTTAAAAAAAATATTGGATACATATATCATCTACAATGACGACCCCTCTGAAAGTCTTACTGTGTCTTAACTGCATGCTGTTGTGTTCATTTGCAAGACAACTATTCCCAGGTGAATTGGGTGACCATGTCCAACAGTGTCTGGAAAGTCTTCTCTGGTTCAGGAAATACCATGAATAATTAGAATAATTAGATATAATTATTAGAATAATAATTAAAATGTCCTGTCATCCATAAATTTCTTACATAATATTCATTTGTCTGAACAAGAAATGATTTTCTTCTTAGTAATACACCTTTCATTTAGTCTCTCTAAAAATGTATTTAACATTAGTTACCAGAGATAACTCTAGTAGATTCAGAAATAGTCAAACTTCTTCTCTCTCAGGAGCCATGTCTCTAAGCCTGTCTTCCTTATATTGAAATTTATTGTAATAACTGACTTGTCTTCCATCTGACCTGTTTAAATTGCTATCACGTAAGTTAGTTCTCTCAAAGAGAAATCTGTTGAAATCCATCAAGACATATGGCTAAAAAGAGCATGTACCTTAAATGGTGAGAAAGAGGAGGCCTTCAGTAAAAGTGAATGAATTGTTTTCAAAATCCACAGTTTGAGCTTCTTTCTGAGAGGGAAAACCTGTTCTGTTTTTAATTTTCTCTTTAAAACTTTTTTCACTGATAGCAAACCTTTCCCAGAGTAATGAAAAAAAATCATTTTCTTACAGAATATTTTCTTACATTAAAACAAATTTCATCTTCTACATCTCTATAATTGATTCTGTTATAAGTGATTTAAACAAGAATCTATACAAACTTGTTTTATTGTATTAATGTTTTATGATCTTCTTTGAGAAATATAATGGCATTAAGACTGTTCCTTATATGAACAAAGTAACTACAGCTGCTTCATTTGGTTCATTGGCTTGGTGTCAATTAATTTGCTTTGGGGATTATTCTTGCTAATACATTAAGATCTCATTCTATCTTAAGTGTGCGCTTCCTTTCTCTCCTTTCTATAAGCAAAAACAAAAATATCTTCTAGCTAGTAGCCGGTGAAGCTGCATGCCTGTCATAACAATTGTGCATCGTAGTAAGCCCACAGAGGTACTATTTTTATTTCTTTACTTAAAGATTCTCCTCTTTTTATGTTTTGCTAGGATTTGCTGACATCAGCCATAACATAAAAAATAAATTTCCATAGGATTCAATTTGTTCATTTTAATATCTGTGTAGCAAAACATTTGTACATTCTTTATATTTGAACTTAGATAGAATCAGGACTTATTTCAAGTTGCCTTAGACAAGCAACCTCATATTTTGGTGTTCAAATATAATATTGTATCAAATGTAATAACTTCTAAATAAAAAATTTCAAAATAATAAAAGAAGGCTCACTCTCTCTCCTTTTGCTTCTCTCTGCTTCCTTCCAACACTCCTCATTCTTTTAAAACAAATTCAAAATGGGAATTATTTTCAGCAATGTCTTCTCACATGCCAAGTCTCTGCTTTTTTTCAAATATACCATCAATGTAATTATTTGTTAAAGCATATTTTAAACATGCAAATAACAGTGTACTGTACTCTAAGTACTTTTTCTTATTGTATATTGAATCCATGGTTATGCAATACAAATAAAAAGTTTAATCAAGGATATATTGTTAATTAAAGATATCCTGAAAGAGGGAAAATCCTACATTTCAAGGTGAGTGTAATCTAAAATCACCCCCTGAATTGAATCAGTTGACCTGAAAGGAGTTGCTAAGGATCACTGTGTTAATGAAAAATGGCTATTATTTGTTCTCTTTAGCCAATGCTAAGGGAGCCCACAAGCAAACTCCATGGTTTAGGCACTGTGTGTATGACACAGTATTTTGGAGAGTGCTGTCCATTGCACCGAAGTGATTTCTTGATGTTCCCCATTGGGGGACATTCTTTCTGGTTTAATTTTAAGAAATAGTTGAGGTTCTCTTTAAACAATGGATTCGAAGCTCAGAAATGCACTTTATGGTTCCATTTCTCCTTGTCATTGGATGAGTCAGGAGTATCTAGCTAACTAGTATCTACTCTATCATTCTATCACTCTATTGTCATCTACATCAATGATTAGCACAACATCTAATCACAGTAATAGTTATACACATGTTGGGTGACAGTCATGACATTGCTTTTCTGTGAGTTTAAATTGCTAATCCACATCATAAAATTCTTATTGAGTATCCTTGCCTGAAATAAATTGTGGCATCTTTTCCAAAATTAATCATACTATCTCAAGCCATCAAATAAAATATTGCTGCCTCAATACTTAGTAAAACACCATTTTTGCATATCTCTTTATGGAACATGGAATTTTGCATGCAACAACTGTTACACTTGTGTCCACCATAATATGTGCTCTGGTAATTCCAGGCAAAAGATAGTTATGAATTCAAAGCAGATAACTGCACTGGGTTTAAAAAATGAAATCTCAGGTAACCACCATCCACAACACAGAGAGACATCATGATTATGCATAAGACTTACTTTAAAGTTTAGTCATAAAGTAAAGAAATAATATCTTTGACTGTGATAAAATATTTCTTCCAACTACTGGTGGATGGAGACATTTCAACAAATTTAATGTAATAATGCTACAAAGTTGATATTTGAGATGTGGGAGAAACAGAAAATGACTTAAAAACCCAAAATAAAAAATCCAAATATCACATAATGAAAACAAAAAGATTTGAAAAGGAGCATACATTTTTCCTCACAATTCCAGAGAGCTACATTAATAAAGGTATAACTATCCAGGAAGAAAGCATCCACAATCAAAACAAATCAAAATATATTTCATACTCATAAAATAACTGTGTTGTATCTAATCTTTCATCATGGAACCTACGGGTAAGCAAATATAGGGTGAAGTTTTAAAATTTACATAATGAATTCTCCAGGGTTTGAATAGTTAAAAATAATAGAAAGCAACTAAATATTAAAAATTATTTTAAAAGCTTGAATAACAATGTTAAAATATGTTGCAGCTGTTGATGACAAGAAATAATGTTTTTAAGAAAGCAATCTCCAATTAATCATTTCCTCTTTTAGTGGGATAATTTATGAAAATTAAATGAGGCTAATAAAGCTGAAAGAATAGGGAGGAAAGTAAGAAGTTAAATAAATTGCTTCCTTTTGTAACAACAGAAAGTCATGATATCCATCATTTGGCCAGAAATATCATGTTGCTAAAGGCCTTATTTAGCATGTGATTCCCTGCCCATTATAGCTAAAATAGAGGCATCATGTTTCAGCTTTCCATTCATTTCATTCTCAATTTTAACCCCATAAATGTCTCCCAAGATTGAAATTTGAATAATGTCACAATCTTAGGCTACTTAGTTTCGGATAGAAGACAGAGATGAATGAGGTAGGAGACCCTATGTTCATTCAATTTCTGACTTCTAATAATTAGAATTTAAAGTCTTCCTTCTTATTAAAAGTTAAATTTTATAAATAATAAATATAAAAGTCAAACTTAATTTAAGATTGAGGTAACTGGGTGTAATTATTTTAAAATATTTAAGTCATGTACAAAATACAGGAATTACATAAAAAATCGAATTCCAGGT